ACCGCAGACAGAGGCAGGTGTCCGAACGGGGACGGGTTGCGGATGTGTTGCCCATCTATGCACCGCCAAAGTGCCCCAGACCCTCAAGGCAATTCTTAAAGGAACCCTGGAATCCTTAGCCTCAAAGGAACTGCCAAAGGAACCCTACTGTAGCCCTCAAGGGAGCCCTTGCCCGTTTTTGGAGCCCTTTGGAAAAGTGTCAGGCCCGGGATGGTGGCTCCTCTTTGCCTCTGTGCTATGCCTCCAGTGCAACGTAGGAGGCCTTCGAGGGCCTGAGAGTGCTGGGATCCGGTTTGTACTGGGCTCATTAAGGATTCTGGGTGGCTGGAAAAATGCCTGGAAACCCGGAAACTTGATGTAAATGAAATTCAGCTCTGGCGCTCGTTGTCAGCTTTGAGCAGTTCGAACTGCCCTGGTGATGGTGGCAGACCTGAAGTTCATGAGGGTGATGTTCGTGTGGGAGAAGGTGATGGTGATTAACTTCTGCTCCGGAAGATGATGTGTTCTTGCCGGAGGTGACCTCGGATGATGACACCCCCAACCCCATCTTCCCACCTGATGGGTTTAGAGGTGGGTCCAGAATATGATGACCACAATATGATGACCATGAGGGATATGGGCCAGGGACATGATGTACTGCCAGATTGTTTTCTTTAAAGCAAGTTCCTTGATTGGTTACCCCTGGCGAGCCTTAGTTGGCAGAGCACGATGGCGTACGTGTAACAAACAGCCCTGCGCACGAAGTCTCCGATCGCTCTTTGAAGGAACAGTCTCCGATGACTGCGCATCCCTGCGACATAGCGAGTTCTGAGTCTCAGATGCGATTTGACTGTGGGCTCCTACGAGGGGTACCGGAAGTATTTTCGACTGTGGAGTGCAAGATCAGTAGAGAGGTCACTATAACGTATTGCGATACTGCTCAGGGAGTCCCCAATAAGAGATGACACCACTCAGCACTCATGACATATGCTCCGAAGATGCAGTCATTTCTTTGGGGTTTGGGGTCTCCAAGCTGTATTCTGCAAGCCTAAGTCCTAAACCCCAAGCCCCAAACCTCAGCTGAGTTGTGAGGTTTCTGGCTAAACCTTCGATGGTTCCTCCTGCTGCTGGCCCTGGCCTTCTGCGTGCTCCTCTGCCTGTCGGGCCGGCAGGGAGGTGGTTGCCCTCAACGGTGCCAGGCGGGCAACGAGGGGTGGGGTCGGGGGGGGGGGGGGGGGGTTTAGAGGCTCGGGGACCTAGTCAGTTCGAAGTGGGGGTTGGAATCACGATGAGACAGTCTCGGGCACGGCTACAGCTGTGTACCCAAACCACCACCACCACCGCCGCCGCAACCGGCACGACCGCCACCACCGCTCCTTGTGACCTCAAATTTTACCGACACACTCCCTTCAGTCGGCGGTTTTTCGGCTTCCAGAGCGGTCAGCTTGTTTTAGGAGTGAGAGCTCTGGGTTCGGGGTGCTTCAGAAAACCGAGTCCAACTCCACGCCGCCTCGGGTCCCGGAGGCGTGGTGGCCAAAGAAGAAGCCGGCCGTTTGGGAGGCATAAACCTGGTTTCAGGCTTTGAGGTTCCGGGCTTGGAATTTCAGGTTTAGAGTTCAGGGTCTGACGCTCCAAATCCCCTGCGCCCCGAAACCTTCGAAGTACAGGCTCCGAGCCCTAACAAAGAGCCTTCAGGGTCCTAAATCCTTACCTTTGGTTAGTAGGGAATGGAAAAATGGTAGTAATAGTAGTTATAATTGTAATTACCCCATTCCTCCATTCCAAAGGTAAGAATCTCCAAAGCCCGAACCCCAATCTCCCTTTGGACCGGAGCGCGACCGCGGCAGTGGAAAAAATGTTCAGGACTTTTTGGCTTTAGGGTTGTGAATTCGAATCCGAGGTTCTCTGTGCGATTCACAAGGGCTCGGGTTTTCGTTGGGTTCTATAATTTAAGGTTTTGGGGCTTAGGCTTTGTAGGGTTGAGGGTTTAGGGCCGGTTGCTTGACTTGGGGTCTAGCGACTAATTTTAGGCTGTGCTGCAAGGCCGTAAGATTTGGGAGGTGTATTTGTGGGCGTGAGGCTTGCTGTTTGTGACCGCTTTGCTAAGGATACAAAAGCTGAGGGGGTCCCACGTAACCCTGAAACCCAAACCCTGACCCCGAGAGCCGTAAATCCAAAGACTCCAAAATAGTAAAACCCTACTACCACAGAAAAGCGCTGGACAACTTCATGGCCCACAAGGAGGTAAGGAGGTCATGAGCTTTCCTTTCACATTTGCCAAAACCGGCCATGGGGCTCGAATCATACCAGAACTAAGAGGCTCCCTGAACTACGGATCATTCTTTACCATGTCACACGTAAGGGCGCGCGGGACCCAAGTAGTAAGTTGGGCAAAGGCAGGGCTGTCTGTAGGATAACCACCTGCAGGGACTGTAGTGTACTGATGTCTTGAACCCGAGGTGTTGCCGACTGACTAGGTCCCATGGCTCTTGAAGTGTGTGATACCACTGGCAAGATCCGAGAGAGAACGAGACAAGAAAGGGGTCTGCAACATAGCAGTAGTTCTCTATCTCCTCATGCCCCCTGTGTTCCTGTGTTTTAGTCCTGCACATAACTCCAGATGCGCCAAAACCTTAGGAAATCAAGTGATTTAGCATCCTATGTTAATCACTTCGAGCAGCCGCTTGTTCGCCAGCCGATGAGACAGTAGGTTTTTCATCCGAAGCCTCCATCTGTTTGAACATGGTGTCTACAGTCAGAAACCCGTATGCACGCCCCTGTAAACCCGACGATTAAGCCCTTCACCCGGCCCATTATGGGAGGTCTTGACGAAACTCTCCCATCTTTCCAGGCAACAGCAAGCCAATGAGTCTAGGGTTGAGGGCCAGATCTTCACGAGAATTGATTTCTGACAGGACTGACCCCCGATATCTGCAAGATTTTAGGACGTGGAGCTCCAAAACCTATGCAAAGACTCGTTGGAACGCTGAGAACTGCCCCGCCCAACTTTGACCAACGATTTCTTTAGTTTAATGTTGACACAACTTCAACCATGCAAGCAATGTGAAACCTCCTCCTACGGCCCAAGCCGTAAGTCGTAAACCCAATGTGCTACAACCTGAAGCTGCAGACCCCGAGCCGTCGAGTGCCCTTAAGAGCAGCCGCGGCCATGCGGCGAGCATGGCCCTGGCCCTGGCCCCTCCTCCTCGTGGCGCAAGGATCAGAGGACTTTGTCAGCTGCATAGGTGGGGGAGCCCGTTTAAAAGGCACATATATATATATATATATATATATGCGAATTCTATTTTTGGGGGGCATCAGAGTCAGGAGATTCCAGAAACTCTCCCGAAGCCTGTGACCCTCGGGGCCCCTTAGTAGGTGCAGAACGTCGAGCCCACGTGGCCACCTTTGCCAGCGAGCTGGACATGATCCAGTCGGCTTTTTTTGCGTCTACGTCCAAGGTTTTCGGTGAAGTTGCGGTATTGGACTATGGCCGTGGGGCGGAGTGGCCCAAGCTGACTGTGAGGTTACACGCATACAAAGATTATGTTTTTCGGATGATGGCCTCTCAAATCTGCGACTTTGTGCTTTTCGTGGATGGTTACGACTCGGTAGTTACCGGCTCGACGGAGGAAATCGTTGACAGGTTGTTGGCGCTGGAGTCAAGGACTGGCAAACCCGTCGTCTTCGGTGCAGAAACACAGCCGGATAAGTTCTTGGAAGCTTTTCAAGAGCTGGCCAAGGCCAACAACGTGAGCACACCATGGCGATATCTCAATGCCGGGCTCATGGCAGGACGAGTTTGGGCGCTTCGTACCTTCTTTCAGGAGATACTGCATGGCCACGGCATGGACGACCCCATCTCCGACCAGGTCTTGTGTGCAAACTTCAGCCTCTTTCAGCGGCCGGACTTGGTGGCGCTGGACTACCAAACCGAGCTCTTCTTGAATGCCTTCGGCATCGAAGGTATTTTAGACGGCCCCTGGGCCTGGGACTTGGGCCAACCCCCCCAGTCGGTGGCTTTGGTGGAATCCCAGGGCCAAGCTTGGATCGAAAATCGTCTCACCAAGAAGAGACCCCTGATCTTCCATTTCCCGGGGCCCGGGAAGTTCTCCAAAAAGGCGCCCTGCCTGAAAAATCCGAGGCTCTTCTGCCTGAGGTCTTTGCCCTTCGAAGTAGTTCGGCTACTTCTGCCCGAGGCCTACAAGGGTTGGCGCCTGGAGACTGGGTTTGGCGAATTGGGAGATTTTCAGTTTTCCCTTGTTGAGCCTGAGATTCTAAGATTTTAGGAGGAGCTCATATACGAGTATTATTCGGGTGGTTTGAGGGCCCAAAGCTATACTATAATATAACTACAGTTGTTCTATAGTATCTCTGTATTTACTATAAGATAACCATAGTAACCAGCCGAAGGAGAGCATGCAAGATCTCTTTGACGACCTCTCCACACCCTGGCTACCGCGCTGGAACAACGACGACTACCTTCACTTCCAGCGGACCTGGGGCGTTCTAGAGAAGCCAGGTGGCAATCTGGGATAAATTTTGCAATTTCTGCGAACAATTTTAGTTTGTGGCAAGTTCTTATGGATCTCGCGAGCAGTTTGGGAGCCCCGACTGCAACCCAGGAAGATCAAGCTGAGAGAGCGCATCATCAGTTACATGGGGCTCCTTGACCTTCTTCTTCTCGCCCTCTTCGCCCTCTTCCTCTACTACCGCGTCTGGCGGCTGAGAGGATGTTCTCGGCTGCCGCTCTCTCTCCCCCAGACTCTTCGGCTGCGAGTGAAGCCCGAGACTCTGGACCTTTGAGGAAAAGATCGGGGCGATACTGCTACTACTACTACTACTACTACTACGACGACGACTACGACTACGACTACGACTACGACGACGACGACGACGACTACTACTACTACTACTACCACAACTGCGACTACGACTACGGTTGCTGCTGCTGCTGCTGCTGCTGCTGCTACTGCTACTGCTACTACCACGACTACGACTACTACGACTACTACGACTACCGACTACGACTACCGACTACGACTACGACTACTGCTACTGCTACTGCTACTGCTAATGCTAATGCTACTGCTCCTGCTACTGCTACTGCTACTGCTACGACGACGACGACTACTACTACTACTCGCAGTAATACTGTGAAGACGGAAGCAGAATCGTGCAGCCCTAAACCGCCGAGTCAGATTCATGTTTGAGCTTGGCTCTTTGCGCCCCCAAAGTCCCACTGTTCCATATTCTGGTTGTGCAGTGGCAGCTTTGGGCTTTCTTCAGCAGTTTCTGGAAGTGTGTTGTAGAGACAAAGAAGGTAAAGGTTTTTTTCGGTCTCAGGGGACCCAGCAGGGTGAAGCGTATCCCGATGCCCTAAACCTTAAACCTTGGACTCTACAGATGGCCAAAACCCCAGAACTGTCATTTCTCCCAGGGGTTCTTTTCATCTTCTTGCTCTAGAGCATGCGTGCCAAACTCGACGTGACTAGCACCTCCTGGTCCGGCTTGTTGGGCGAACTCTTTCTTGCGCACTCAACAGCCAGCCACGACCCTGGACCCTAAAGCCCTAAAGCCCAAACCCGTAAAGTCCAAACCCATGAAGCCCGGCACCCCCCCCCCAAATCGATGCCCGTTCAAGTTCTCATGCTTCCAAGCCGGGCCCAAAGCAGGAATCATGAAGCCCATGCTCAACAAAACGAGCTAAACCTAACCACCGAACCCCAAACCGCACGGTAAAAGTTCAGCTCCTCGTGCGTCGGGCCCCTGAACCCAGCACCCTAATCCCCGAAGCCTGAACCTAAGCCAGACTCTGTGAGTGGAAGGCGCCTCAGAATGAGCTTATCGAGGCAGCGTGCCATGTGGAAGGCTTTCTGCCTCTGGTGCCTTTGTGCCTGCTACCCCCGAGCCATGCTGGAGGATGGATGGCGACTCCACCGGGGGAGGCAGATTCCTTGGAACCTCTTCAGCCCGAAGGCAAGAGCGTGTGGGGTTGGGCCTTAGTGCTAGGAAACAGGTTGTTGGCTTTTGGGCTATCATATGACAAACATGTTCGGGTCTCGAAGGGGATATTCAAGACCCCTGCATTCTCGAGTGCGGTTGCTACTTTGTGGTTCAGGGAGGGCGGTGACACTTCGGAGGGGCAAAAGTGAGTTCCTCGCTTGCCCGAGCCGAAACCCTAAACCCCCGGCACAAGTTTTAGCCCGAGATGTTGCCCAAACCCAAAGCCCCAGACCCTAAACCCTAAACCCTGAAGCTTTCAGCCGTGAACCTGAGACCGAAGCTCGAAGACTCCTGGTTGCAGCCTTGCTTCCCTGCTCTCCGTTGCTTCTCCAAAGACGAGGTATCATGTCCCATGTAGTGCTTGTACAGCTCGAGTATCAAAAACGCCGAAAGCTTCTTATAGTTTTGAAGCACCCTTAAACTTTCTCACCCCTCCCATAAAGTCTTGTAAGAAGTCCGTTCTAGATATCAAGGACCCCACAGTAGGTACATGCAGGGAGATCCTGCCAGGAAGTTTACCATTAAGATATTATTTTATGCTATACTAGATTATATATACACTGCATTATACTATATTGTATTATATTATAGCTTAGCTAGGGGTTTAGGGTTAAGCTCCTGAATCGGTCTGTTTTGTCAGTATCTCTTGGAAGAGGCGCCGTTCCATGCCACGGTGGTGGCGAACCACGACCTGCCCAGAATGCTATCACCGGCCACGGGGGAAGCCGGCGAGACGCTTGGGCCTGTTGAGGTGTCGGGTTTAGAGAAGAAAGATCGGCCTCGATCTGAGGATGAGCTCTGACGTGGTCAGAAAGGATTGAATGAACCAGGAATTCAGGCGTGCAGGTTGCGCCTGCAGCCCTTCTGCCTTTCCCACGTTTGGGACCCTTGAGCGTGATGGCACGGACATGTTCATCCTTGAACCCAAACCCTATGAAAGAAACAAAAACCCTACCCCATAACATCCCAAACGGCATACCCTGACCCCAAAGCATAAGCCATTGAATCCTGATGCCCTGAACCTTCAATGTAAATGCCCGAACCCCTTTGAAGTCATGCTTGGCCTTTCGGAAACCTCTTGATGCTAGGGACAGGGATTTCGTGGTCACTTCAAAGTAGTGTTCTGGAAGTTAAGAACGGTTGCTGAATGCCCTGCAGGCGCGCGGAATGGCCAAAGCCATAGTAGCAGCATCGCATTGAAGCTCGTATATATTGAAACCAAGTAGACCCCGTCCCCATACCCGATTCTAACTAGTTACCGGTCTGTTTGTTCAGGTTCCCGGAACCGCCCAAACTCGTCATCCTGAACTCGACACCCCTGAGTCCTTCAAGCGCAGACCCAACAACCCTGGGCGTTCTAAGCAGAGTTTTGGGGTTTAGGGTTGATTGTGCCTTTATACAAAGAGGCCTCCGACTTGGGGCGCACACACCTCGCAGAGTTGTGTACATGCGTGTGGTAGCGCTAAAATCATCAAAAAGGACAGTCGAGGCTCTAAGCCCTCAAACCTATATTACCTATATCTTCCCATAGTTGAGATGGATTCTTGAATACTTAGAAATGATAGCCAGTTCTATTACACGTTATAAACCCCAAATCACAGTCTAAGTAGCAAGGCCCCTATCATAGTGTCTTGGTTCATGTACATTGGTCCAGATCTTCTTTCAAGCGAATCATCATATCTTTGCTACAGTAAGTACTCATGATGGAACCCTACTCCCCAACTCATGAGCTCTAACCCCTAAGCCGAAAGTCCTACACCCAGCCTTCTCTTGCCGAACATGAGTCGGTCATGGCTCACATGCGCCTGCGCGGCTCTCCTTCTTCACTTGCTACCCTGCCGAAAGATTGGTTTCGAGTTTAGGGCTGCGCGTTGGAATGTTGAGGGGTTGCAGCCGCGTAGGGTTTCTGGGTTTATGGGTTTGCAAGGTCCCAACGTCCGGAGGTTAGGCGTTTGCAGGTTTGCGGTTTCAGGTTTGGGGTTCCGGGCTTCGTCGTATTGTGCAGCTTCAAAGATGACGATGATGTTTGGCCGGGCAGAGGCCCGGGTCCAGGATAATGATGATAATGGTGTTGGTGATGGCATTTCGGTGGCAGCAGCAAGGCTTGAGGTCCACGTGCCGCCACGGAGGTGTTGTCATTCGTTGGTGTTGGGCGAAATCACGGTTTCTGGCAGCTTTCGTTACTGCATATGCCTTTGGCGCTTCAAGAATGCCGCGTGTTGGCATGAAGTGTTTCTTTGTGGATGTGAGAGGCCGTCGGGAGTACCGTTGCTTGTAGTAGCTTCTGTTGCATCCTTCTCTGTGTGTGTATGTGTGCGTTGGAAGGGGCTAAAGCATGCCATACGGCGCAAGAACTGCCAGCAACAAAACGATTAGCTTTATTAGCAACCACACCGGACGTCGCAAGTACAACAAGTGCAGAGACAACGATGACGCGAGCGGCAGAATCACTAACAGCAGTAAAATCTGACCCGACTTTGTCCACACCGACGACCGCAATAATAGAAATGACATTTGCACTACTTACAACGGTCGCAACCAACAGCGAAACATGATTAGTGCTCATGTTTTCCGAAGAAAAATCGCAGCATGTGTGGCAAGGATTACTTCGTGACATCGTGACAGTCGGAGCCAGAGTAAAAGATTAAATGAGTAAATGCAACAATACACATAAGCTGAGCCATACGCCTCTCTGAGCCGTCAACCCTGTGTTCGAAAGACTCATAACTCACCCTGCTGGCCTCAAGAAGCCTTCTTGCAGCATTACAGGTACTCGGATTCAGTGTTTTAGTGTACAAACCCATTCAAAAGAAGCCAAGGCCCAAGACCTAAGTCTGCATGCCACCTCAAGATTCGATCCTACAGCCAAAGCCTTGTACGCTAAAATCGAGAACCTCGCCCGAGATTCAACAACCATATGAAACGATCAAGCGCGCTTAAAGGAACCGCAAACGTTACAGGGTTTGGGATTCTAATGCGCTAGGTAAACCGCTATGAACCTTTGTCGGACCCTTACGAATCTCTATCAATTAATCTAGACAGCCCAATACCCCTGAACTATGCGATCTTCAGTACAGCTTATTATGAGGACCCCGAAAAGGGACCCTGAAGCCTCCGTTGTCTTGGTTTCCAGTTGTTTGCGTGAAGGATTGTGGGACCTAGCAAGTCCCTTCCATGTGCAGCATCGTGCCATTAAAGCCTTAGCCAGACCCTGAACCCATAAACCCTGAAAACTAAGCTTACCCCCAAAGGCTTAAGGCATAAATCCTAAAGCTCAAAACCCTAAACCCCAAAACCCTAAGCCCCTCAGCCCCAAATCCCAAACCCGCAAGTCCCAAACACCCAAACCTTAAACCCCCAGCCCCCATAATAACCCTTATAGCAACCTTTCAACACCCTTTACAGCAACCCTTATAGTCACCCCTTAAGCATCCAAAACCCAAAAACCCGCCGAGGAGCCGCGGGCAGTCGCCGGAGGCGGAGGACGCGGCAGCGGCCACGTCGGATCTGATCCTCACGCTGTACTATAGGGGCCTTAATCATTAGAAGAGGGTTCCCTTTAAAGGGGTCTATAAGGGATCTAGAGTAGGAAAAAAATATACATAGGGGCCTTAATCATTGGAAGAGGGTTCCCTTTCAAGGGGTCTATAAGGAATCTAGAGTAGGGTTATATAATATAGGGGCCTTAATCATTAGAAGAGGGGTCCCTTTAAAGGGGTCTATAACGGATTTATAGTAGGGTTATATACTATAGGGGCCTTAATCATTATAGAAGAGGGTTCCCTTTCAAGGGGTCTATAAGGGATCTAGAGTAGGGTTATAATATATAGGGGCCTTAATCATTAGAAGAGGGTTCCGTTTGAAGGGGTCTATAAGGGATCTAGAGTAGGGTTAAAATATATAGGGGCCTTAATCATTATAGAAGAGGGGTCCCTTTAAAGGGGTCTATATGGGATCTAGAGTAGGGTTATATACTATAGGGGCCTTAATCATTATAGAAGAGGGTTCCCTTTCAAGGGGTCTATAAGGGATCTAGAGTAGGGTTATATAATATAGGGGCCTTAATAATTAGAACAGGGCTTTGGGGTATGTTATACTGTAATTGTCTAGAATCTAGAGTAGGGCTCCTTTAAGGAGTCTACAAGGGTTACTGTAGGGGTTCTATAAGGGTTGAGCATGCTTTCTTTTTGGACTGAGAAGACGAGCCTTAAGAATTTGAACGGGATTTTTTTGGTATTTTACTATACGACGAGTACTACTAACTTACTTCACGACCGCGCGATAAGATTCCCGGAGAAAGTTTGTTGACGCCCATCTCCTGCAAGGAACCAGGTGCAGCTGCACCTGATGACTTACATGTTTAACATCCACCGGCATTTCGCTTACCTTCAGGCACCTTGCATCCGACTCAGCACCCGAAGCACGAGCTCTCGTTCCTAAGCTTGGCAGAATAGAGCCCTGCGCGCTGCGCGTTGCGAAAACAGCACGACGTCGAGAGTAGCAAGGAAGAAGACAGTCGTAGCAGTGATGATGCCAGTCGTCATCGTAGTCGCACTTGCAGCCACTAAGGGTCAGGATCTAACCGGTACCCGGGGTCTCTGGACCCCACGTTTTTATCGGATCCGGTTCGGTTTCCATGGCTTTTGTGGGAAAGTTTCGGGCACGTTGGAGGTCACTGCAGAGTCCCAGCAGATCTATCCTCAAGTGATGGGCCTCGGCATCCTGGCGGAACCGGATGCTTGTTATCAGTTTTCGTGTATCAGGCCTCATCTATTTTCTTCTTACTACTGTCCTTTCCCTTCGGCTGTTCCTATTGTGAGTCGTATTCTGAGCCTCTCAACATGTGGCGCGGCACTTCGAGCGCTGAGGGCCCAAACGGGGCCCGAGCGGCATGAGCTTGAACTATGCACCGCGCCACAGCTGATTGTGTGCGTGCGTGTGTGTGTGTGTGTGCGCGCGGGTGTGGGTGTGTGTGTGTGTGTGTCTGTGGAAACTTAATACACCAAGACCCTACAGTATCTAAAATATCAAGGCCTTCGTATGAAGCCCTGAGCCCTCCGATGCGTTGGGGAGTGGGCCTGAACCCTGAACACCGATCCCAACCCCCTAAACCCTGAACCCTGAAATTCTGAGACCCAAACCCTAAACCGAATCAGCTAGCAAGCAGAAACCTACCATAGAGGCCCAAACAGCACCAATACTATTCATGGGGGCTCCTTATTATGATTATAGTATAAAATACCCCCAAATCCTATTCTAATTAGTAAGGCCCCTATTCCCGACACCCCAGGCCATGCGCCAAAACCTGGACAGCCTCAACGAGAATTTTTCTTGTCCCTGTGTAAGGCCAGTCAAATGACTGGGGCCAAATGGGCGACAAGATAAATGCGATACGGACATTCGCCTTTTCGAAGAATGACCAGGATGTTATGATTCTTGGATTGTAAAGATCGACGGATGTTCCTCATGTTGCTTCAGTTCAGTGTGCTGGGTGTCTCCCTTTCTGCTCTGCAGCCGAGGATTGTTGCAGACGCCTTTGATACGCTGATTTTGGCAGGTCGGCTTGAAATACTGCGGAAGTTTGAGGAGCTTGAAAAGGAATCTGGGCGCAGCATCGTCTTCAATGCTGAGGTTGCCTGTTTCCCAAACAGCGACAGCATCTGTGAAAAGACTCCTCCCTCGAAGTACCGCTGGCGCTTTCTGAATGCTGGGCTCATGGTGGGTCGTGTGCACGCCTTCAAGACGATCCTCCCCGAGGCTCTGGAAGGCGAGAGGAAGCAGGTGAATCTGGGTTCCTGTTAATAAGGGATTCTTATGTTCAGGTGCCTTAATAAGGAAACCATTTAAATATACGGTAGATCCCACTTATGGTAACTTAAATGTGAATTCCTTGACAAGAACCCAGGAATGATCAATGGTGGTGGCAAACCTACCGCAGAGACCATCCAGAGAAGATTCTTCTGGACACGGAGTGCAAGCTGACATGCAACCTCTTCGCCGTTGAAGAAGAGGACGGGAACAACTCTCGGGCTCCAATGTGCATCCATCTTCGTTTTTCCTGATTCTTGAGTCCTAAGATGTGAATGCTTGGCTTGACAAACTACGCTAAACTCCAAAGCCTTTCATTGAGTCCCACAGCCACAAGCTACGGCCTCCAGGAGGGCATCAGCTTAGAGGGGAGACGGCTGCATGTGCGGCCAACTGGCACTGTACCACCATTGATTCACTTTGCAAGCTACGGGCATCGTCCCTTCGCAGAGAAAGAGTTCAGGATTGAACCACCATTTGTAAGGTTTACAGGGCTCTGAGCTTCAGAACGGTTCAGGGTTTATCGGGTTGAAGGTTTGAAAAGGTCGGGCTTAGGGGTGAAGACTTGTGGGGTGGAAGATTTCAGGATTCTGTTGCCGAAGGCCGAGACTTAAAAGCTTTGACGTTTCCCTGGGGGTCGGAATGATCAGTACTAGTATCCCCTTGGATTACTAATTACTTTAGAGCCCGCCAAACAACCGGACCCTGTGGTAGCTTGACCCCATGTAACGCATCATGTACGCAGAGTTATGTGGCTAAGCCCTGAATGAGTTCTGTGAGCGGCAGCTCGGTTTCGTTGATGGCCACGCGGCTGTAAAAACTGCGTGTTGTGATCAGGCGTGAGTACTTTATCGAAAATAGTCCAATTCGCCACCACCATCAAAAGTCTGGGAAGGAGAGGTGAAAAGAAGGGCTTATACTAAGTTTAAACATCAAGCCTCGGCTTGGTTTTTCCAATGTCCACGCTAATGAGTCAGCATACCAGAGCATTGTTGATGTTGATAGACGGATAGTGGCATGCTTGACGGAAGCAAGGCACCAGATGGGTGAATGGCCGGTCGACTTCCTACGTGCAGGACGTCTTCCGGCAACTCTTTCCGCAGGACCTGCTGCCTGGAATTTGTATGCGTTGCGCATCCAAGCCGATCATGCAAGCCGTTTTTTAAAGGTCCAGGACCACGAACAGCCTTTGGTCAACCCAGCAACGCGCACCAATGATGCAGCATGGCAATAGGAAGAACAGAAACTGGCGTGACTGAGAACGGTGGTGCCGACTGCGGTAGGAGGGCAGAGGTTCACGAGAACGGAAGCAGCAAAACACGTAAGACTAAAAGGCGAGGTGTAAAAAATACTGTTACGGGCATTTGTTAAACTGAGTGCAAGCGCAGGAAGATAAACAGCTAAGGATTGAGAACATGTTGCAAGAGTCTCAGCCAGCAACAACAAGCCCGAACCCAGCATGACATGCGCGACTGGTGAGGCCTCAACGAAGTGGAATGCTATTGCCAGTGTCGTGATAGCATCGGTAAGAGTAAGATGCTTCCCATACTTCTGGAGCTCGTTCAGTGAAGTGTCCTACGAGTGACAGCAACAAAACACCACTGGCAGCCCTCGCTGGCGAATGAGGCAGATGCAGCAGCAAATCGGCAAGCAAGCAACAACGAGAAGAAGAACAACAAGAGCACCAGCAACAGAAACGGAAACGTACACGGAAACGGATACAACAACAGCAACAGTGGCACCAACAGCTAGAATGCAACAATAGCAGCAGCTGCAGCAGAAGCAGCAGGAGCAGCAGCAGTAGCAGCTGCAGCAGCCGCAACAACAGCTAGAACGCAACAATAGCAGCAGAAGCAGCAGCTACACAAGCCACAAAAGTGCTACAGTTGTTGCAATCAGACAAAGGTGATGAGACGTGATGAGGACGCTGATGAATGTTGTTTATTCAGGAGTCTGCAAGTCTGATGGAGGGATGGTGGATTGGAATTCGGGTCGGATCCAGCCACGATCTCAAAATCTACGAGGGCTCCTTGGCCTGCGTCAGTTTATTCTTTTAGCCCTGAGTCCAAACCCCTAAAGCTCTGAGCTCAAAACCCCGTACCGTAGATGGAAGGTTTGGAGCCGAAAAGGCGGACGGGTTGGTGTATCAGGCCTGAACCTTCTAATCCCTAAACCCTGAACCCCTCACCCTAAAAATTCGAGTTGGGAGTGGGCTGCCCGTACAGGGATTGACCTGTTCCTAAAGGGTTGTCGTAACGAAGGTTGACAGATTGCTCGCGGGGACGTTGTTTCCACTATTGAAATTTCCGAATGTAGCGATAGAGACTTAAGTGTCCGCTTAATTCAGCGCACGCTTGTGCAAAATACCTCGCTTTCTCGAAAATTCCGTGAGTCCGGCGCAGCCCTCAAAAGATCCCTTAAAGGATCCTTAAGATCCCTTAAAGGATCCTTGAAAGGATCCCTTAAAGGATCCTGAAGATCCCTTATTAAGATCCCTTAAAGGATCCCTTAAAGGATCCTTAAGAACCCTTTAAGGGATCCTTAAGATCCCTTAAAGGATCCTTCAGAGCCTGGGCCTGGGATCTCAGGCCCGGGATGGTGGCGACTCCTCACCTCTGCGATTTGCCTCCAGTGCGACCTGGGAGGCCACAGGTCTCTGGAGTTTGGGGTTCAGGGGCTTAGTATAATGTATATATATATATATATATATATATATATATATATGTATATACACACAATATATATATATATATATATATATATATATATAGGGTTTGGGGTTCAGGAGCTTGGGGCTTAGGGTTTAGGGTTCAGGAGCTTGGGTTACTTGGGTTTAGAAAGAGGGTGTGTTCAGGATTCTTTTGGGGTTTCTCAGGGTGTAATTGAAGGTATAGGGCTTAGGGTCTAGTTTCAACAAGGGTTTCATAAGGATTTCTATATAGAGGTTCAAAAGTATAGGGTTGCAAAAAAAGGGAGCTAGCCAGGGGTTCCAGGTAAATCGGGCATGTCGTGTCCACAGCCGACGCCGCGGGTGCAGCGGCATGCAGGAGGGGTGTTGTCGTATCGAATGCCGGCATGCAGCGGCATGCAGTCAGCATGCAGGGTGCAGCGGCGTGCAGTCGACATGCAGGTGATGCAGGTGGGGCGTCCGTGTCCACAGTCTGTGCGACGGCGCAGCGGCATGTAGTCGGCATGCAGGTGGCATGCAGGTGGGGTGCGCCGTGTCCGCGGGTGGTGCCGAGGCATACAGTCGGCATGCAAGTGGCACGCAAGTGAGAATCAACTAAGCTTAATTTCCTTTTTGGAGAGCTGAAAGCATTTTTGGTGAGCTTCGGGACGCTGATTTCGGGCTTCAAATCTAAAGCCCAAACTTACATCCCGAAGCTCTCCAGAAACATCATGAGTCATGAGATTTAGTTGGTTTTTGTTTAAAACCTTCTCGGGTCCAGGATCGCTTTCTGGATCCGGCTTGTGTATTTGCAACTGATGTAGTGGCTAGCTGGGTAGCTTTTAACTCCCAATATCCGCCTCCCGAAGCTCTACCAAAAAAAGCAAGTAAATTGAGTTGATTTTCTTTATGTTTCTGCCGCTTTGACCAGGCTTTTGGATCCGAAGGCTGATTTTGGCTTGAGATTCGCCAACATCAGCCACAAGTGCATAGGCCAGATCCAAGAAACATTCCTGAGCCGCAGAAGATTGACAAAGAAAAACAATCAGAATTCAGGTGTTTTTAGGAAAGCCTCAGGGAGCTGATGCTGGGCTTGAAAGCTAACCGCCGGCAGTGACAAGTGCATAGTCCGGATCCAAAAGCGCTCCTCGGCGCAGCAAACATCAGCTCAAACTTAGTTGTCATGTTGGTAGAGCTTCGGGAGGCTGATTTTGGGCTTGAAATTTTAGAGCTTGCCAACATCAGTGGACCCGAGGAAACCGCCAAGGAAAAGCCAACTACATGTAGTTTATTTTTTTGAGAGCTTCGAGATGTTGAGTTTGGGCGTGGAAGCTAGCCAACATCAGTTGCAAGTGCATATACTGGGTCCAGAAACGCCCCCAACCCGGGAAGATTGCAAAGGAATATCAGTGCAATTCAGCAGATTTTTGGGAGAGCTCCGGGAGCTGGAAAGCTAGCCAAAATCGCCAGCAAGCATAGGCCGGATCCAAAAAGTGCTCCTGGAGCCGTGAAAACTGCCAAAGAAAATTCAACTAAATTCATGTTATTGGAGAGCTTCGGCAAAAATGACTTTGGGCATCAAATCTAGCCGACGTCAGTGGCGCTTGCACAGACGCTCTTCGGCCCGGCATAATTCATTGCTGAAGACAAAAGCCTGCTCCCAGCGATTTGGGGTCTTCGCCGGTATGATAACGGGTTCATAGGCTTGTCTTGTATCATTTGTTTTCATAGGGTTTTTGCAAACTCTTTAGATGGATTTTTATGGGAGTAACCAGAGGGGGCTGCATTGCGGGCTAGTCCCTTTTGCAAGTTTATATATCAATGATTCTACTCTTGAGGCTGTATTAAGATCGCTTGATTTTCTGAAGCTCCCACCTCAAGCAGGGCAGTCGGAAGGACAGGACAATGTTCAAGAGTGTCAGCTGTGGGAGTGGGGGAGAACGGGAGTAAGAACGAATGTTCTCAGTATATCATATTGAATCGGTGAACTTCGGCTGAAGTTGGAAATCGGGCATGTGCCCCAAGCCGTAAACCTCATTTCATGTGCCGTCTTATCGTCGGTGATCATTGCGAAGGTGTAGAATCCGATGACTGCAAGTACTTGGGGCACAGTGCCACCTGCTTCTCGGCTACGATTTCGGTTTAGGGTGAAGGCATTACGCGCAATTCCATAGATATTGTCAGAAGGAAACCACTGGTAGAAGCAGTTGTAGTGTTGATGGGCACGTTGGTAGCAGGTGACAGTAGGCAGTGGTAGTGTTGGCATTGGCAGTGGCAGCGGCAGACTGGCCAGTCCCGGTCGAAGTAGTCGTGAGAAGCCATGTAAACATGGATGTAGCAGAGTTTGCGTTTAGGGTGTTAGCACTGTTGCTCTGCAAGCCGGCCCTGGATCCTAAACCTCAGACGCTAAGCCTTACATGCTGAAAGCTGAGGTTTCTGGCTCAACCTCGGATGGTTCCTACTTCTGCTGGTCCTGTCCTTCTGCATACTCGTCTGCGCACGGGGGCGGCAGGTATTTGCTTGCGGTCAGCGGGTTCAGGCGGGCGGCTTCGAGCACAGATGTTTGGAGTCACGGGTCCTACACCCGAAAACCCCAAATTCACTCCACCCCCTAAATTTTAGACCTTGAGTAGAAATCTAGACCTGGCTTCCTTGCTGGGCCTTTTTCAGCTTTGATGGGCTTAGGCTTAAGACCTCTCAGCACGGAGCCCCGAAAGCAAGACCTGCGGCGCGATAGACTCCAAAAGCCCTTATTCCCTAACAGGTTAACCACTCACCCCCGAAGGAGCAACATAAGCAAAGACGTTGCAACGACGCCGCCCAAAACCCCTAAACTAAACCCAAACCCCAAACTCGAAGCCCTAAACCCTAAACCCTATATAGTCGTACCCTTGTCCTAACCCCTTATAGATCCCTCTAAGGAGCCCTAAATCCTAAACCGAACCCAGTGCTTTCCCCATTTTTCTCCCATAGACCGCACAGGTTCTCGAGGCCTGGCGACGCTATCTGAAGCCCCGGAAGCCGACGGTGCTGGCGGCCTAGGCAGAAGATTTGAGGTATACTATTTTGGGGAGCTCCTTATTGTAATTATAGTTTAATATGGGTAATTACATTTTTGGTGGGGGTTCCTTATTATAAGTATAGGTTGATATGTGTAATTACTGTTTTGGGGGTTCCTTATTATAATTATAGTTAAATATGTCTGTGTAATTACTATTGGTTCCTTATTATAGTTCTAGTTTAACGGGCCCCCAAAACCCTATTCCATAACTGTGGGAGAGCCTGAGAAGTGGGCAGGAGCACTGGCGGCGCCACCGGTCCGGAGGAAAAGTGATCCGAGGCGTTCGCGAGGATTTAACGTATGTGGTTTAGGGTTTCGTGCGCAGCTTAAACCTGCCTTCGCTAAAAGGAATTAAAATAGGTATTCAGGTATCGTTATATCAAGCCCCTTGAAGCAAAGGAGTCTTCCAGACTGGTAACGAGACTGTCTAAGTGGATATAAACACCGCAAACCCAACAGCCCTGCAGCCCCTAAAGCGTCAATTCCGATCCCAAAACCTCCTAAACCTACAAAGCCAATCTCCTACGTGAGGCATAGACCCTGAATAACACCTAAACCAGTTGGCAAGTTGACGGCCGAGGACACACCACATCACGCTGAGCCACCACGGGCAGGCGCCGGGTTCATGATTTAGGGTGCCGAGGTGCCAGGAGGAGGCGATTGCGGTTGCTCCATTCTAAGCCCGAGTATAATCAGTGATTCTGATACCAGTTCTCAGGAGCGAATCCAACGCCACACTTTTAGACTACAGACACCCTACTATAGTAGCCTGAGAGGCCCGACCATGGATGTCCCAAACTCCTAAACCTCGACCCTACAATCCGAAACCCTCGAAGCCCACACCAAGCCCCTATTATTCAACCCGTACAAGCTCTCGTTACATAGCCGATTTTGCAAGCCGTCCATAAACCGCTGTAAGCCACGCACAAAGTGACAAACACTTGCAGACCCAACAACTCCAAACAGCCTGATGGTCGCACTGCTCGAATCCCCTATCGAGCACACAAAGGGAACCTGAAGATGAAAGCCCTTAATCCCAAACCCAACCCTAAATCCTAAACCCAAAAATCGGCCCCAATCTCCTGAGCCCAGTGGACAAACGCGGAGGTGCCGTATCTGGAGGGCCAGGCAATCGGCGTGATCGCTCCGGGTCCTGAGAGGATCGAGTGAAAGCTCTAGGTTTCGTCCTGTTGTGGGCATTTTTGAGGGTTTGGGGCGGGTTTGCTTTTTCAGGCGCATTGTTTCTGAATTTCTGTTTTTTAGGGTGGATGGTAGGGTTTAGGAACTCTGCAGTTTCTCTTTAAAGTCAAGACCCTTCTTTTATGGCGTATAGTTATTTCGTTTCGTGCGCTAGGGGCCTCAATCAAGGCAACTAGGGGGCTACCGGGCTCTGGGGAGAAGGGCGGCTGCAAGGAGGGAGGCTCACACAGGAAGCTTCATGATGAAGGCTTAAATATGGCTTGCACTTATACGTTTAATGGCTCGGGGATTGTTTTATTTTTATTTTTTAAGTTTCTCTGGGTTGATGGAAGGTTTGAGGCTTTATGCAGCACACTGTGGCACTTTGAGTAGAGGATTGCTCAATTGAACTTGTGCTATTCCCTTGCAGGACTGGTGAGAGGCCGGCAAAGCTCCGGCTCTACTCAATCGCTTCATCCAGGTGTGCTGCTCCAAAACTGATGCACTTGTACTCGTAGGAGACGGCACTTCTAGGATCCCTGGAGCAAGTCGGAGTTGTCTTCATCAGGGAATATAAGCCTCCCTGAGGCCCAAAAACGCCCGAAGCCCTGAACGAGGTCAGGAGACGACCAAAGGTCGAAGACCCTCTCGCTTTGCGTGAAGCGCGTCCTGGACGTCTCGGAGCGCGACCAGCGCGACCGGTCGCGCGGTGTGGGAGGGCCGAAGACCGCTGGGGTCTGCTCGAATTACCTCTGTGATGCGCAGCCGGGGGATAAGGTAGTGATTACTGGCCCCACAGGGAACGAAATGCTTCTACCTGAGGAAAACTGCTGTAACTTGATTCTGGTGGCAACAGGCGCAGGCATCGCTCCAATCCGAGCACAACTGCGACGGCTTTTTCATGACGTTTCGGCGGCCAATCCCGACACAACCCGCAAGTTTACAGGCCTGGCTTGGCTTTTCTACGGGGTTCGCTATGCGTCGTGTCGGCTCTATGAGGATGAGCACATGTCCTACAAGGCGAAGTTTCCGGACAACTTTAGGTACAACTGCGCCATCAGCCGTGAAAGCAGTTCTGGAGAGAAGGAGTATGTACAGACGCAGATGTGTCAACACATGGACGAACTCTGGCGACTCCTTCAGCTGCCAAAGACTCACCTTTATGCGTGCGGCGTAAAGGGCCTGGAATCCGGGCTTTCTGACTGTCTTGCCTCTGCTGCAAGGGATCGCGGCCAGGACTGGCGTGAACTTCACAAGGCAATGAGGACCGAGGGACGCTACCATGTGGAGGTTTACTGAAAAGGCAACTGAGGAGGCCTAGGGGCCTAGGTGAGCTGGAGCAGACACGATGCATCCGCCAGCTTAGACACGACGATGCCGGCTGGACACACGGTCGATCCCATCGCATCTGGGAGTATGGCTACACAACTGCCATTGTCATCGCGACTATTTGACTATTGCAGCTGGATGAAACTGACCATTCCGATCAGCAATGTCACAGCCGTCATTTAATTTTGTACACCTAGGCCCCCGAGGTACAGGTGTCCACCAAGAGCAGTATTTGCGTTTTCAGCTGCTCCTACTCCCGAAGCGCTAAATAGACCCTGAATTCAAAGCACTGAAATCAACTGCACGCCTGAAACGCCAGGACTGCTTTCAGCCACAAATCCATAAGACTCCGAAACCTAGCCAGCTCTTTACTCTTTTTAACCCCGAACCCCTTAAACCTTAAACCCCAAGCCCCAAACCTGTTGGAACCCAATGCCATTTGAGCCCCCAGCGCCAAATCTGCTTTTCAGGCCTAAACCCGGGCTCATAAGCCCCCAAACCCCAAATGTCCCAAGCTTCTGCCCAAAACTCTAAACCCTACTTGGGCCCTTGAGCTTCTCGAGGTTCTGGCTCGGCTCGAATCGTCGAGCCCCAAACCCTACAAATGCCCCTGGTCCCGCAAACCATGCAGCCCGTTAAGATTGAATCACCTTCGAGAGGCTTTCCAAAGCGTTTATAGAGCCCTTTGAAACCCTCCCTAATCTAGCCTCTCATCCCTGAACCCCTGAGCTACAGCAATACAACTGTCAAGATCGACTAAGATCCAGAACAACCCCCTTCTGAAACCCCTGCAACTCCCTCGTAAGCCCCTGCGGCAGTCGAACCAACAAACCCAAACCCTAGACCAAAGAGCCCCTCTTAAGGCTCTAAACCCCCTGTTGGCAAGACCACCTACAATCCACAAACCCCTAATCAAGCCCTAGAAACACCGTGCACTTCCCACTTTAAACCCTATGCTTCAAAGAGCATTGCAAACCCTACACTCCAACCCCCACCCCACCCCGAAAAACCCCGAAACCCTAACACCCGAAAACGCTGCGGCCTTTGCTTCTTGGGGCTCGGAGCCTGGCTTTGAGATCCGGTGAAGAGGCCGCGTTCAACGCTGAGGTGCCAAGCGAGGGCACCTTTTAGGGTGTAGAGTGGGGGGTAATATAGGGGCCTTAATAATTATGACAGGGTTTGGGGGGCCATTTTGCTATAACTATAAGAAGGACCACCCCCCCACCCTCAAAAAAAACATAGTATAGGTAATTTTTAAGGCCCGTATAGTATGCGTATGGGTTTAGGTTTTGGGGCTTAGGGTCATGGGATTATTGGTTTAGGGTTTTTAGTGACATCGTGTCAGTGTAGTTAGTTCTTTCGCAACGTTGATGTAAGTTCTTGATGTAATGGGCTATGCAGGGCTTTCCAGCGGTTTGTGTGTGGGGATTTCGGGGGATTCTGTTGAGGATCGGTTGCCGGGTACTGCGCTTCGAAGTTTTGGGCGCATCTTTCAGGATCTTTAGGGTAAGCAAAGAGTTCGGGCCTAGCCTTTTAGTGTAAACCCTCAACCCCACCTGATGCATCCGCTTCGGGTGAAAAATCCCCTGACCAGAATACCACCCCAAATCATGACCGTGGACCTCACACGAATCCACCCAAAACGCATGCCTTGAACCCCGAACCTCCTTCCTAGGCAAGCCCTTTGAAGCTCCGGTTGCGAGATGGTCCAGAGTGTCGGGGTTTAGGATTTCAGGGGTTGACGGATTTGGGGTTTAGAGTTTACGTAGGGTTTCGGGCTTAGTTGAGAGCTTATTGCTTAGAGCGTATGGTTTCCCGGATGACACTTCCGAGGCTCAAGAGCCTCGACCAATTTTCAGAGAGTCTACGCGGCCCACGTGGATTTAGAAAGGGTGCCGCAGGCCGTAGCTGGGTATCGGTCATAGTGTCAAGAGCAGAAGGAGCAGATCTCCCTGGGCCAGGAGTGTTGCTATAGATGTGACAAGCATGAGGAGATGGTGGCAGTCCCGAATGGAAACACCATGGAAGTGCACAACCCCACAGTAGGCCCTAGACTCTAAGCCCAATAGCCGAAGCCCAAAGCCTTTGAAGCTAAATCCTAAATCCTGTACCCCTCAAGGAACCCTCAAGAGGAACCCGAAGCCCGAGCTAGATGCAGGCCTGGCATTTCCACATGGAGATGCTCGCTTGGTTCAGTGAGGACCGGAGCTATCCAGCAAGCTCAGAACTCAAGCAATGTCATATAGAGAATAGGGTTTTGGGGCATATTAGACTATAGTTAGGGTGTAGGTAGCTATTAAGGCTCCTAAAGTAGTCATCTCAAAGCTCAGATTCGGTTTGGTTTTCGATTGCATTATATTCGTGTCATTGGGACTACAATGTGGGGATGAAGTTGCTAGTTGTTCGGACGCCTGTAAGGCTCAGCAGCTTAGAGCCTTGTGTCACGCAGCGAAATATAAAGATTCAAAACATGCACCCATGCAAAGATGCCATCATGCGTACACAATCGTCTCTGCAGAGGGTGTGCAGGCATACATATTCCAGACACGTATGTAAGATTCCCACAAGGAAGCTGTGGATAGCATATGTGTAAAATGGTGACATGTCTGGTCAGACACTGCTCAGGGAGTTGATCCGTGCACTTCCTAGGTCCTAGGTGTGGCAGCTATAGTTTAAGGGTTCAGGGGTTTAGGGTTTGGCTGAGACTTTCTACCAGGCAGAACAGTTTACCACTTTCTGCTTGCGAATGACATAGTGGCCTAGTGCAGGATATGGAGGATGATCTTCACACCGCTGGCGTCACCAACGAGCTCGTCACTAGAAGCCCGCTCAGCTGGCCTGACCACACTTGCCTTCTTGCAGTAATGAGACTTAATCTGGGTAGCATCCGTGACAGTCATGCAGGTTCTTGTGGTTGGTTTGGGGGACATAGCGGCTTGAATCGTCGTCGTCGTCGTTGTCGTCGTCGTTGTTGTTGTTGTTGTTGTTGTTGTTGTTGTTGTTGTCTTACTGTAGTGCTTAAAAAAGCGCGTGCTCCACCATCGTAAGAGCAGCTTTGACGTACACATCCCAAGAGCGCTTCTTGCTACATGGAGCAAAGGGGTTGAGCAAGGGGTCTTGCACCGTGTCGTGCGTTCTTCGAGGCACCATACAAGCACGGAGTCATGGGCACATGACGAGGCGCACTGAATAAATCACATTGCCACAGCAAATTTCCTACAGAGACGGGCGGAAGATGCGATGTGGAAACACCTTGAAACGCACGTTTGGGATTCCCAGCGCGTAGTGGGCCTGGAGGAATGCCAGTGCAGATGCTCGAGGTTTTATGCATTGTGGCGACCTGTGCGCATTTTGGGGCCCAGGAAGAATGCAGTGGAGGTTTGATGCATTGACCTGTGTGGGTTCTGGGGGCTTGGAAGAATGCGCTGGAGTGCTGGTGCCGGTGCCGGCGCCGGTGCTGGCAGCGGCGGCGGTGGTGGTTGTTGCTGCGTTTGTCTTCTTGGTCGTCGTGGTCGCTGATTGCCATTCTTACTTCTGGAGCAGAATGCCCAAGCCTTCATCTGCCGCGCAGATCGGAATAAACTTCGGTGATACAAGAGCATCAGCAGGTTGTCTCCTTGGGTCAAGCATGTCGTCGATTCCTGTACTGCTTAGTTCTCAGCGAGCTACATACCCGGGCCATATACGCCGCAAACATGGACCATAGCTGACACTTTTCACAGGGATTCATTAATACTTATGACTTCAGATCAATTTCCTACCAGGGTGCATAGACTATAGAGCTCTTCGGGTTCAGCGCCGAAACGTCAAAGCCCCAAATCTTCAAATTTTGGAGACTCCGAAAGCACTTCAAGCCTAAACTCCAAGATTCGTTCTGAGAAGACCGCCTTCTCCAAGGTTGGGCGAGAAAGGAAGCCAGAGTGGGGCTCTTGGTGGACGTGTTTGTTTGTAGCCAGAAAGGGGCAGAGGTCTGGGGTTTGGGTGTTGAGGCGGTTGTTGACGTTGATTGGCTTGATGTTTGTCATGGCTCGACTGTTTCGATGTTGGGTTGCAGGCTGGTTCAAGGTGCTGTGGTGGTGTTGCAGGGCTGTGACAGGTCCTGGCAGGGTCTGGATTGTAGGACCTTGTTTTGTGCAGTCGTATGAGTCTTGTGTCATGTTTGCGCCGTAGAGGGAGAGTATCGGGTTTCATAGGTTTTGGTCTACATTCCCAAGGAGTTTAGCAACGGTTGATGGCTCTACATATGGGTTCTCGATAGATCTCAACTGGGAGTCTTCCTGGAGCCCCGAAACCCTAAATCCCAAGCCTGAAGCCCCAGACACACCAGATTGGGGGGAGCCAGGCGCCGTGGAGTTTTGACGAGTTTTGGTTTCAGCTTCCCCACACAGGCAGCGCAAAACACCCCAACTCCAAGAGAAAAATTGGCACAGCATCGTCGGCTGTCCCGAAAGCAATTGCTTTTGCTTTGTAGGTGTCCTGTGGTATAGTATACCCCCAAACCCGCTGCCTAAGTATCAAGGACCGTATAGCGCCTCATGAAAACTTTTAAAACAGTATTCTCATTTCAGCCGCGTGGTGTGAGTTCCAAGCTTGTACATGGATGGATGAGGCTTGGAACGAGTCTCACATGCCAGAGCAAAGGCCACAGCTGTTTTTTTGGATCTTGGGAACTTGGGGGGTTCAAGGTTCAAGCTTTCTGCTGTGGGTTTCTAATCTGCGATGCTTAGAAGGCGTCAGGTCCCAGAGATTTCGGACCATACCAATCACAAAGCAACAGAGGACGTGTAACTCGCCAGGGCAAGAAAAATTTGTTTCATCAGCCGTGTTCGTCAGCGTAATTGTCTAATTAATTGGCACATGATCATAAGCTGTAGCACCTTTTGCATCTTTGGCTCTTCAAGCATGACCAGTTACTCTTCTAGCCAAAAGCAACAGTCGCCTGTTGGTTAGGCTTCGCACGGCCATCACTC